ACATATTTTAAAATAAATGTTTTACATGTATATATTGCAGTTGCAGGGGCATGTCTATATGTTCATTAATGTGTTTTAGGTAATGTGCATTAGATCTAGTACTAGATCCATTGTGAGATACAAGAAGAATGCACGTTAGCCTATTTTAATGCACGTTGGCTGAAGAGCATGGTTTTTTGTGATGCTTTAATGTGCATTAAAATACAGACAGTTCTCGGACTTAGGACATGGTTTTAAGGAACCAATTGTGTCGTAAGTCAAAATGTTGTGACTCTGAACCGATTTTCCCATAGGAAAAATTTTATAAATGGGGGGGTGTGGTTCCTGAACCAAGGCCCGATACCGTATTTTCACCAAAAATAACCCAGAATTTTGTGCTCAATCAATTATAGATGAGTAATATAGCTACATTAGTCTATTTATATTGTAAATAGCAATCATTGATTTGGAAGGACTTCTTTGAGGTGACTTTGCTGGACTTTTTGAAAGGCTCCTGGTTGGACTTTTTGAAGGGTTCTTGGCTGGAGTCTTCTCAGGAGTCTTGGCTGCAGGTTTTTCTGGAGTCTTGTCTGCTTTCTTAAAGAAAGTGTCCAAGTGTCAATTTATAAATGTCGTAAGTGCTGTTTGTTGCAAGTCAAAACGTCTTAAGTTGAGGCCTGCCTGTAGGCTAGTGTTAATTAAAGCACATATGTAGATGTGCCCCCTTGTGAACAGCTTTATGCTCATTTAACCTATAATATCCATCTAAAGTCCAGTTAGTGAAGATTTTTGCTTTATAGTGTAAAGAAATACTGTGCACTAACCATAAGTGTTGGGGTTTGTTTTTTTAAGACTTTTTCCACTTGCTGCAGAAAGAGATGATTCCACAGAGCACCATAGAGTTTAAAGATATAATCCCGGTCTCAACATTTACTGGAGAAGGAATTGAGGAACTGAAAACCTGTATAAAAAACTCACTAGATGAAGAAAATGAGAAAGAGAATGAAGACTATCACAAAAAGAAACTTTGCATTTTGCAGGCTTTGGAAGTATAGCAAATAATTAAATGCTGGAATTCATTCTTGGGTGGATGTTGGCTTAATTTTTGGACTTCTGATTGGATGCCAAATCTATATGTTGACGAGTGTACTCGGCCATCATGAAATGGAACTTGACTTCATTGTTCCCTGAACCTGTGACAGTATGGTTTGAACTCTTACCCTGTCATAAAAGCAAACCTGAAAAGTCTAACCTGGCACATGTATTGTGAGGAATACATTTAATTTAAAAACATTTCCTAACATTGCGAAGGTTTTAATAATATAGTGCAGTAATATATAGCGAATTTTCTTAGAAACAAATGCATAATTCTTCATACACATGGTCTTGTTTTTTTTCTTAATCATAATGAATACTTACAAGATCCTTGCACACAAGCTTTGAAGGAGACTTCTTAAAATAAAGGCATTGTTTGGCATATGGACTAAGATACAGCAATCACTATTCATTTAGCATTAAGAAACAAATGAGGTTTTTTCCTAAAGCATTTTAGCTTTAGAAGATAAGTGCAGGATGATGACTTATGCCCTGTATGCCTGTCAAAGCACCTATGCTTTGGTTTCCTATTTTATGATTGCTAATTCTCTTTCAGAAGTGGAGAATCTGCAAATCTGATTCAGTGCAGAACATCTAAATACTAAATGGATATTAATATGTTTTTAAAATGTTTCCTAGATGAAGTATATAGTTATGACCCCAGATCATTTCATTCCATCTCCTCTCTACCCTGTTGACAAGGTCAGCTCAACTGTCAGCCTGTGAGGGATTCAGTTGCAGCCTTGGTCTCCCACTTAGGTGCCACTGCCCCCCATTGCTCTAGCTGCAGAAGCAGCTGGGGTCTCCAGGCTCTCTCTCCCTGTGGCTTCCCCTACCCTGCTCAGGGGATGTGGCAGTGTAGCAAGGCACAGCCTGTGGTGATGTGGGAGCCTGTGGCCTGGGGTGCCCAAGAAGCACGTCACAGTGGAAGAGCCCACGGCCAGGGAGCTGAGCTGAGATGGAGTGCCTGGGCACACAGTGCCTCAGGGAAGAGTGAGAGGGGGACCACAGGAGTATGGAGTGCAGTGGCAGGAGGGTGGGGGTGGCACAGGAATGTGCAGTGCACCCAGGGGTTGGGGGGTCACAGGAGCATGCAGTGCAGGAGATTGGGGATCTGTTGGGTTACATGCAGTGCAGTAGGGGTCGTACTGTGCATTCCCAAGGACCCAGAGCCCTGCTGGTACAGCCTGTGGCTACTTAAAAGTTGGACAACCTGGGTCTAGAGTGTTTGGCTGCTGGGTAGAGCAGAGTTAGGCAGTGAGTTGCACCCTGGTTCTATGCTGGCTGCAGCCTCTACAGTTGGGCTTCGCAAGCTTTTCTGAATTTTGCCAAGTAGATGATAAAAATCCTAGCATTATCTGAGGAAAAGAGCAGAAACATGACAACATGCTGCAATAATGTAGGAGATGATTGCTCTGGTTCCATATTTCCTGGGGACTCCTGGTTCTCTGGGGGGAAGTTTAGCATGAGGACATGAGCAATTCCTCAGTGCACAGAGCATGAAGTGTAGGATGTGTTCTCCATCCTTTGCACAGAAATAAGTTTGTATTATTTGGGTACCTTTTATGAACTGATAAAAATCTGATGAAGTGTAACAGGCTAAAGTTGGTGCATGGAAGAGGAAGACATGCTAAAGGACTTGAATTTTCCATTTCTGTTCGTATCTGGCTGCTGTTGAGCTCTACTCAAAGCAGTAATACATTCTGTAAGATCTAGGCTAATCTTTGTTTTTCAGATGGATAATAAGACTAAGTAAAATGTCCAAGGTCATGTTCAGTCTTTAATCAAAACTTCCAGATGCTGCTTATATTATGGTGTGAGAGAGGATTACATCTGAGCAATGAGTAAACTTCCTTTTCTTGAACAGAACTATACTTTTCTCAAGAGTATTTGATTCAGATTTAGCATAAGGAACACACATACTAAATGTTAGTTAAAGAACAGCTAAAAGTTCTTCATTGTACATTTTCAAAGGTCCACTATAAAGCAGCTGCAAATCAAAATCAATATTGGATACATCAGACTAGTATAATAAAAAGAAGTATGCAGATAAAATCCTCCCTCTAAATTTTTTTTAAAGCAATTACTGGGAAGGAAGGGTGACTAGTCATTGCTACTCAATTCTTTTATCTTTTATATGGATGAAGTTCTTGTTTCTTTCTAATTACTTTTTTTGTCGATATTGGGAGTAATAGATGCTCTCAACAGGAATTGAGCACAGTGAGTCAAAGACTCCGAGCACTTCCTTCATTGCAAGAGAATATTTTACATGGGGACCTCATCATGCTCACTAATTTGCATACTGCAAAACGTGGGAAACAATGACTGTTTGAAGCTATATTTCAAGATATCTTGGTGAGCCCTATAGGATTTTTGATGTACATTTGTAGTTTCAAAGCCTTTATTATCAAAATGGAACAAAATCCAGCTGTTTATTGCATTAAATAACTGGAGAAAGAAGTTGCCCTGATTATAATTAACCATTGGACATTGATTATGTGGGTGGGCCAATCTGCTGTTTTGTATCTTGCATTCTAATTAAAGGGAACTCTGCTGTAAAAACTACCTAGTGCAGTAAACTTCCATATTTTATTGAACCCACTGTGGGAAGGAAAATCCTTTTGCTTTCATTTCAGATCTTGAAATGTTTGGGGGTTTTTTAAGTCTTTCTGATAACCTTTCCTTTTCCTGCCAGCTTGGTTGCCACCCTTACAGACAGCAGGACTCCTTTGTAGCTTAAAAAGTGCCCTTATGGAAATTGAGGTAGGAGTTGTACATCATTTTTTTTGCAGTTCAGATTTTTAAAGGCAGGTTTAAACCTGCCTCTCTAGCCAGTTGGCATGGGAAGCAGTGTTTTCTTTTAGAAATGTGTGGTAAAGAAAACTGACAGGCTCTGACTGATACGGGGAACATCTTACAGCAGGACAGAGCTCTTGAGAGAGGATGCCCAGGTGAGAAAATAGAGAGGAACGCATTGGAGAAACAAGGCCCACTTCAATCCCTGCCTCATGCGTGGCTTGCATTGCGCTTTCAGATGATTTTGGAGGCAGTCCAAGACTTCAGTATCCCTTTCCTGCGTTTTATTTCCCCACCCTCCCTTTATTCTCTACTATAAAACACAGGCACAAACTATTGACTCTTTAGGATTTTTATTGGAAGGTTTAAAATTCTCTTTAGTGTTGCTGTTGTGGAAAATAATTTGAAAATATCACCCCTTTAAAATCTCAGGTATAACAAGGGGAAAGAAAAAAATAACCTAATCTCTAATGGTAACAGAGCTGGGTTTTTTGGGTTTTTTTCTTTTTAACTGCTGATACTGGAAAAGAAACCTGGCTGAGATACTCAATCAAATCTGTATGCATAAGAGGTGGCTTTTCCTAGTTTAACGCATGATTTATGAACAACAAAAAGCCTAAATCACTTTTAACAATCCTTGCCTGCTAACAAAGCAGAAGGCAGGGCAGGATGACACCTTAGACAATAATAACTGGTTCAGAAAGTCCTCAGCTTTCACAGGCAACAACCTACTTCACCAGACGATAATTTTAGCGCTTTATCACATTACACAACAGTGGGATGGCAGGAATAGGCTGTAGGAGCAGATTCTCAAGGATGTTGCCTGGGAAATGCTGGCAAGAAGGCATTCTGGGGGTTGTGGTCTTTGACGACATGAAGTTAAGCACCCTGGGAGAAGCAGGACTACAATCCCAGCATTCTTTGGGAAAAGCCACGACCTCAGGAAAGACTGGGAAAGAAGCAGCAACACCAGCGGCTCCTCACTGTTTGCAAATAAAGTGATGTGTTCGTGAGAAGATGGTATGTATAATTAGTAATTGTGCTTTGCAGTTATTTACTTGTGTTGCAGCCTTTTCTGTTGGAGATCAGGTGAATTCTGCTGTGTATAGGTAATGGAAAAGGGATTGTGTGCGCCCAGGAAGTGAAGCAGCAGAGCAGTGAAAACGGTGTATTTCTACACATCCTAGAGAATGAGATGAAAGCTTAGCTATCTAGATTACCAGAGAGAACCAGGATCTCTCCTTGGCACTGGGTATTTACGTGGAAATGTAACTAAAATAATATGTATTGATGCCTTTTAATACAACCAGGCTGAGATTGTTCTGATGATTATTTCTTCCTGATTCACACTCTACCCCACACGGCACTGCCATTTCCAGGGCTGGTTGTAGGCTGTTAACCACAGTTTCTTCATCCCTTCATTGCTCATAACAGTGGGTATCTGCATTGTTGTTTTTACACTTTGAAATACGCTCTTTCCTAATCTGGACTCTCAGCCCTGCTTTTTTATGAGTTTTAGGTTTCTTATCCTTGCTGGTACATATTTAGTTTTTGCTGTATTTTTACCTATACACCCATTTACATCTTAGATCATTTGGTAAATTAAATGTACTTGGCTCTGTCTATTGAACATGGTTAGCCTACTGAATAACAATGTTCCCTTTAGGCCTATGTCTCCGTATCTGTGATCCATATAACATTACAGTTCTTTAGTGGAATCAGAACCCGTGGTAGAGGTGATAGGCAGGCAAGGTTTTTTGGGTAGATGTTTCATAGTTTCATAGTAGTTAAGGGTCAGAAGGGACCTAAATAGATCATCTAGTCTGACCCCAGACAGGTGTTCATCCAACCTCTTTTTGAATTTACCCAAGGTAGGAGCAAGGACCACTTCCCTAGGAAGTTGGTTCCAGATCCTAGCCACTCTAACAGTGAAATAGTGCCTCCTCCTAATCCCTCCTAAGGTGAGGAATGGGTTTAGAGAGATCTGGAAGAGG